TAAATGATTTACGGTTTCTCAGTTTTATCCCGAGATACCTCGTGCATAAAACTCGCACGTTTACATTCATGAGTGTTCTCTGATTTGCAAATGATATTGATGCGGTGTTGTGTGCGACTCAGTTTACACCTTTGCGATCAGCTAAAATAACACAGATTCGAAATATATTCTACAAAACATAATTATTCTTGCGGTGAATCACGTAAAATATTGATAGAATTATTCAACGAAGAGAGTTACGTATTATAAATTCCTACAAAGAATAAAAGGAATAGTTTCGTTAAATATCTACAAATTTGGTTATAAATCCGAAAATAATTTTAATTAAATAATTATGTAAGATACTCAAATATAATAACACGCAAAAAGTTTTTTTATATTCTAGTAACCAATTTGAGTATCCTACATAATTATTTTGATGGACCAACAAAATTATTTTCAGATTTATCCAGCTAAAGTTTTAAATATACTTTTATAAAAGTAGAATCGTTCTTTCTATGTTATCTTTAAATTAAAAAAAACGTTTTCATATTATAATATAGTAATAATAATACATAATTACATTCACTATTCATTACATTTTATATTTATATTTAACGCAATATTAATAATTATATCAATTACATGTTGCATTTGTAACCGTATATCTTTGATCTATTTGTTTTAACTTATGTTTTACATCTATTTTTGATGAACCTCTGAATTTTTAATATTAAGCATTCGTAATTTCACCAAATAAATTCCTGTCAATTTCTTTCGTCAATTTTTTACACGGGAAAGTGACTCACGGTGCGGTCATGCAACCTTGCGCGAAGGTCGCTAGTACGTGAGCACTTTTAATCTATAAGAAAACTCATAAGAGGATAATTGGAGATGATCACTTGTTCGTAGACACGCTGACGTGAGCACTCTTGTCTAAGCACTGCAACGTGACTACATATCTGCGATGTCTTCAAAACATAGCAATGCTACTTGTGGCAAATCTTGTCAAAATAAACCTCCTCGAGCGAAAATCTTCGATATATTCTATTTATTACATTTTAATTTTTTATTCTCTCAAATAATTATGCGTAAATGTATTATAATTTGACAAATCAAATGATTCTTTTATATAATTTAATATTAAAAATATTTTTGTTCCTTATAATAATAATTCAAGTGAAAAAAGAAATGCTTTTATTTTTTAATTTAATTAATATGTTTAAAATAATAAAATTTATAAAATTTATTTTATATTCTTATTCGATAATATTTATTACAACATAATTTTTTACTTTTTTTTCGTAAATTAGTAATTATTAGAAACTAAATATTTGCCTGAAAAGTATTACTTCCGTCAAGATATATAAGATACTTTTTCAATCAAATTAATGACGAAATAATTGAAACGTTCGTGCAAACTTCCTTTAGCTATTCATTGGATTCGTTGGGTAACGCGGCCTGTAGACGAGCGAATTACTGTAGAACATTTGATAGCCAGGGGAAATTATCGAGTTAAAAAAGATTAAAACGATGATTCGTGCACGCACGAATCTAGAGTATGTTTGCGTTCTTGATTCCGTTGCAAGAATCTGTCTGAAGCATGGTTCACCGAGAATAAGGTCCGCCACGATAACTCGGGCAAAAGGTTACTAAATAAGTAAACTATTTCTCTTCCATATTCTGGACGAGAAACGTGAAAGCTACGTGTTCACAGTGCTTTCACACATAAACAATTTTTCTAGATATTACGGAAATACGGGTATAAAAAGCGCAGTAATGCAAAGAGCAACGAAAGAATATTTTTGTATTATTTTTAATATTGTATAATAAGCTAGGAAGATAAAGAATACAATATGCTTGTTTGCATTTATTTATAAATTGTGAAATTGTCCTACAATTTCGCCAAATAAGAGAAAAACTGTTACAAACTGTTGTAGAAAATAAATTATTAAATAAATATATTAGAATAAGTTCGTTTTTAAAAAAACTGAAATTTAAATATGAACATTTAGATAAGAAATTATGGCATATATTCATTAAAAATACATTAATTGGAATATATTTAAAATGAAAATTAAAGTTATAAATGGATCAAAATCGTCGTTTGTTTATGATGAGTAGAATTTCTATAAAATAATTTATTTACTAAAAGACTCAAAATATAAAAGTAATAACATTACAAATATCCACGAATTCGAATTTTCACTAAAGCGGCATACCTCTGATAGATTCGGTTACATTTTTACGGGGGTTACTCCAATTGTATCATTTTTCACAAAGCAGACAAAAATAAAATGTTTTATATACGTTGAGATATATATATATATATAAAATAAAATAAAATAAAACATTTTATTTTATTATCGGTTCTCAGAATCGATATATATAATATGTGTCAGGGTTGGCAAACGTTACTTTTCAGTTATTTTGTCGTTACTTTTTATAATAAATAATTTGATACCGATGCTGCAATGTTTTATGACAGTAACGCTAACTAATTAAACGCTAAGGTTGTGCTAAGATTAAAAAAATCACTTTGAAAAGTAATTTATCACCATTATGTGTTACTTACTGAAAAAAGTAATGAGTAACAAGTAACGCGTAACATTACTTGTTGCAAGTAACGAGTAAAAAGTAACGCTTTACAAATTAGGAGTTATTTTTTTCAGTAACGAATGACTTTTTCAACCCATTAGTAACGATTGACTTTTCTAACTCTGATGTTAACATTATCGTCATAAAAAAATCACAATGTCATTACTAAATCATTATTATAATAAGGTAACGCGCGCGATCAACAAAGTAACGGCGTTACAAATAATAATGCGTTACTTGCCAACTCCGATATGTGTGTGTATATATATATATATATGTATATATGTATATATACATATATATCGATTCCGAGAACCGATAATATTGTAAGATGCTGGTGTTGCTTATGTAATTCTTATACGAGTCATAATAGCTAGTAAAATAACATCAATCTGATACAATATTACGTTTCTGTAAATATACCTTATATACGTTATAATATAAATAATTCCATAAATGATTAAAAAATCATATCAAATAACCAAATTATGTTTTTATACACGACATTCCATTCCTTGCACATATATTCGTCTGTGCATTATTTGTTCATTAATCTGAAATCAATTTTTTCAACTTAGAGCGAAAACGTCGAGAGAGATTTATCGAGACCACTTATCGCAGCTCTCTTCAATTTTTAATATTGTATATCTTTGCGATTGAATCAGAATTGAAGTATTAAAGTAAACCCCTGAAAATAGTTTAAGAATGTAAATCATGTTATTCCCATTTGACTCTCGATTTGAAGTCTTACGATAAAAGTACTTTTTTTCATTTTTCTTAACTTTAAAAATTATTGAAAAAGTCGACTTCAAATTATTTTCATAATGTGAGAAGAAGTACATTCTGTGCATTTATATTTGATATTTTTACGTATATCTATAGATACACGTATAGATATACGTATATCTATAGATACACGTTATTAATTTCCAAAATTAAGATATCATTTTGATTTATTTTTTGCAAAGCACGCATTTTTGGCAAAGTTATATTTTTGAAAAAAGCTCCTTCAGAAAGCAATCCTCAATAAATGACAAATGCATCGTCAACAGATGACGAAATAATGTTTATTCGATCAAGAAGTAAATATCTTTCCCTTTCTAATCTTCGACTTGAACCGTGAAAAAGTAAACGCGCATCTCCCATCGACATCGGAAACGTAACTATGTTTAAACTTTAAACTATTAATAATTCAATATTGATCAGTTATCGATTCCGTTGATAATCTATTATCATATTGCTCGAAGGGAGTTCCGATTTATTTCTAAAAACAGTAGAGGTTTATCGAGACATTATTTGCAGGGAAGCTCTCTAAAAAGTCAGAAAAAACCAACAAAAATCTGTTTTTCAGTCGTTTTTATTACGAAAAGAACGTTATGTACATTTATCGTCTCTCTTTCTGCATATGTATATATATATATATAACTAAAAATCTAAAATTATAACAAAACATTATCTTACGCTCGTCTTAAACTGTTTAACTAATTAATAATTCATTCATCCCAGTTAAGTTTTCAATATTTAACTTGATCAATTCAAGTCATAATTCTTTAGGTTTTTGGCAAGGATAGAATAAATAAGATCTTGTAAAAAATATTCTTCTATCAACCTTCCAATCTGCTATTAAACGATTTCTGTAAATGTTAACTTGATAATATGTCTATTTTTTAATTTCACTAAAAACAGATGCACATAATTTGCGATCGTTAGCGATGACAGGCATCGGTAAAAAGGAAAACAAGACAACTAGGCTGAGTTGTTCCACCTTTCAGTAAACTTCAGCTCACTGTCTTACTCTCTTAGGGCCATCACACAAAATTATAAGCTGCATAATCACAACCATAGCATAAGGCCCTTAGCATCTTATGTAAATCGAGCCCAATGAGCATTTTATGTAAATCGATATGATTTTTATGTCGGATGCTCATTGGTCCAGCAGTTTTATGCTGTGGTTATGCAACTTATGTCCTTTTGTGTGTGATGGCCTTATTAACACTCATATGTTCTTACTCTTTTACTCTTTTGTTTATTTAGTAGGTAAATTACCACATAGTTTATTCGAAGATGGAACAACCGCCCTATAACGATTTAACTAATATAAGCTGTCTTAACAAAATTGATAAAATCAATTGTCGATGTGTCATCATGATGACGATATCGTAAAAGATTTAGATTGCAACAGTAGGAGTAACTTTGTATATCATGTAAAAATTCTGCTATGGTATTGTGATGCAAGTTATTTATAACGTAGGCAGAGAAAAGAATTGGGAGAAATTACCTAAACCTTTTTTTATAAATTTTACATTTACAAAAGTAACAAAAAGGCTGATATCACATGTATAGTAACTCACATTTAAGTTCATATGTAACTCATATATAAATTATTATGTGATTATAAATATAAAGAAATAATTTGATTAATTCCCGTAAGTCATGATAAATTTCATCATTGCAACGCGAATTAATTTTAATAGAATACTGAATGGTTTCCGAGGTATTTTCGCATCGCGATAAAATAAAGTTAACTCTGCTAGTGCAATCTAAGTCCAACTTAATACATTTATAAATACACAAAGTTACGAGTGTCTCAAGTAATAAACGCGATTAAGTCATTCGATTCGTGCACGGTAAATCTTAATCTAGAAAAATACAATCTATCTTTTTTCCTTCTTTGAAAGTATACGTTACAATAGTTCAATCTGAATCTTCTGAAGTTATCGGAACCGTCTAAGTCTCCGTCGAATGCGCGGATGCATTTGACGATATTTGTACCGTGTATATACTATCATATATCGATATTTAGCTAAAATCTTGTACAAGAGCTTTCGTATGAAAAATGAAGATGGATTGAATCTCTAGCTGTCCCTGTGCTAGTTTCTCGTGAAATATCTCACGCACACACGCACGCACGCACGCACGCACGCACGCACGCACGCACGCACGCACGCACGCACGCACACACACACACACACACACACACCACTCGAATGATTTGTATTGTAGATTATAATACACAATAAGTATTTTTGCTGATTAAACCCGAACGATCATGAATATCGGCCAGGTCAGGTCAGATCAGGTCGTTTGACTATTTTTCAGCCGATTTCTCTTATGCCAACCGGCTGCTAGTCGCGTTAAAAAACATTTTCACGACAGCGCTGATTTTATTCCCGCTTTCCTTGCTTCAAATTATTCGGATATTCGCCTTCAAGCATGTCGCCTTCGTCTGAAATTCAGATACGAGAATAATTTTACAATCGCGACATCAATTGCGCGGTCAGATCGATCCGATCGTTTTCAAGTTACCTTCTCCCTCATCCTCGCCTGCAAGATGAATATCGTTCTTTTGCTGCGACTCCTTGTCGTAATCGGCACCATCATACTGATCGTCACCACCGTTGGCTTGCCCATCATCCAATCTAGAATCAAAAAATATAGTATAATAAATTCATTGAAACTCTGAATATCTCTTAGAAAAATTTAAATAAATTAAAAAATTATTTGTTCGAAATTACATAATCTAAATACTTTATACATATTAATATTAGGGACACGATGTTTATTTATATAGTGAGCGTATAAAAAGTATTCATTCTACAGAGAAAATATCTTTATAAAATCTTATTTTCAGAAAGTAAAAATTAATTAGTAATTTATTAACAAAGAATAAAGTAGATTGTATATTTCTCAAAATTATTTTACTTAAGGGGAGGTTCTAGTCTAGAAGTCCAAAATTGATGTATTTTTTACCAATTTCTTTCATAAGGAAAGGAAAGAGATATCAAAATAATACTTTTTGCATTATGTTTTTTATATTTCCACATACAAAAAAATTTTTTTTATTTTTAGAAATGTAGAAAATTGCGGCTGTAGCCTACGGATGCACCAGAGCGTGCAGCGCGTACGTGGCCAATTGGCGGAAAATCTCGACTGTCGACAATTTGTCTGAGACAATAAACTAATGTAATTATTAAAATGTATTAAATTTGTGGGGCCATGAACCTCATTTTATTTGAAAAATTTTTTAATTTACAAAATGGCAGCCATTTGAAATTAAGTGTCAATTTTTACGAACTTTTTTTCACTTTCAACCCCTGTTCAAAAAAATAGTTATTTTAGAAAATTTATAGGATTTTTAGGTTCATGGCCCCATAAAAATTATCTATTTTTCGTAGGAAAAAAACTTTATGTCAATCGGATTGGTTGAATCTGTACATTTCCCGCCAGTTTGAAAAACATGAATTCGAGAAAAACGCGATAAAATAAAGTTTTATTTTATGATTTTAGTTCACTACAATATTTTTCAATTTATATTTAATCAACGATTCCTGACCCATATAAGTCAATTTCTCCTCTGTTCGAAGAATAAATTTTGCTGCATTTAAGTCCTCCTTTCGATTCTTGCTTGTTTTGCGCGTAATACTGTTGAGGCTCCTACAGTTAAACTAATCGATAATAATGTTTGTAACATGATGATTTTGTAACAGACCATCGTTAAACCGAATCTATGTAAGTTAAATTGACTTATGATAATTTTAAACTGACTTTATTAATTTTTTTTTTTTTATTATTTTTATTTGAATTAATTCTAAATTATGCTTGTTTTATTCTGCAAAATACAACAGACGTTAAAGAAGAATTCAAACATTGACAATAGTTTAGCTATAATCTGACGACTCGAATATTATAGAACACAATTTTTCATTATAATTGAATGCTGTCATCTTTATTTATTACACTGAAGAGAATCCAACTCACTTGATTTTCGACTGGTGCAAAATCCGATTTAAATTGCTAAATTGCTTTAACATTTTGAATTAATCGATAATGATGGTACAGTGAATAAGCCTATGTGAGCCAACATAAGTTCTTAGTGTGTAAATGTATATATATTACAATTAAATTAAAATACAGACGAACGTTTCAACCCTAGTATTGGATCCTCTTCAATGTAATAAATAAAGATGACAGCATTCAATTATAATGAAAAATTGTGTTCTATAATATTCGAGTCGTCAGATTATAGCTAAACTATTGTCAATGTTTGAATTCTTCTTTAACGTCTGTTGTATTTTGCAGAATAAAACAAGCATAATTTAGAATTAATTCAAATAAAAATAATAAAAAAAAAAAATAATAAAGTCAGTTTAAAATTATCATAAGTCAATTTAACTTACATAGATTCGGTTTAACGATGGTCTGTTACAAAATCATCATGTTACAAACATCATTATCGATTAGTTTAACTGTAGGAGCCTCAACAGTATTACGCGCAAAACAAGCAAGAATCGAAAGGAGGACTTAAATGCAGCAAAATTTATTCTTCGAACAGAGGAGAAATTGACTTATATGGGTCAATTTACTCTCCAAAGTAGAATTTCCCCTTAAAAGATATGTGATAAGTAAAACATATTATCTTAATAATAAACAAAAATGAAAAATTTTGTTTAGACACATGAGTAGTATTTGTACAATCGTGTGTGAAAAATTCTATTCTTTTCTAATTGTAAAATCAACAGTTATTTTTGCGAATCTGTTTTGTCTGTATAAGGATAAAAGTTACTCATTATCTTTATTTCTACTAATCTTTTTTCTACTAATATTTATTTCTAAAAAGCTATTTTATGAAAACCTCTCTTGAATATTTTTTCTATTCACTGTTTTATATTTAATCAATAAAAATACTAGGGCTCACCCAGGAACTCGATTGAGTTCATCACCGACCTCTTGTACACCAGGTCCCACCCTCAACCAAGAATCTTTTGCTCTCCTTTCAAGCTGTTCGCCAACGTGTCGCGCGGGAGGATTCACAACGAACGGTGGATCCAGGTTGCCAGCTTCAACTACCGGTTCCTTTTCTTCCTTGTCATCCACCGCATTCGCTGGAGCGAGTTTCGGCGGCGGTGGCTGTAAATTGTTGCGAATCGCCGCCGCGTCCTCTCGGATTTCTTCCTGCTTCTTCTTTTCATCTATGTCATCGACAATCTTCTGCTCAATGATTTCTGGTATTGGCAATACGCCGACCGGCACCTTGACCTTCAACGGTAGTCTCGCCGGTAGCGGCGCGGGCTTGTCGATGAGAGACGGTGATACGAGATTGGCGTTGTTCGCTACAGTGGTGTTCTCCGCTTTTCGTGAACTCACCATGTTCTGAAAAAAGTTTCACACAATTATGTACGATGTAATATAGTTATTATTCAGTAATAACAGACGGGAATTACTTGTTGTTGTGACGTCTTACTTATTCAATCCTTGTAGTTATATAATATAATAGAACCGGTTATAATAATAATTGTCATTTCTCGAAATACGCTGAGGAATTGCGTACATTTTTTATTTTCCGCTTCGATAATTCGACGTAAATCATCTTGACATTATGCATCGATAAATCATTAATAATAATACGTAAATCTTCCATAGTTGTATAAAAAGTGTTTTCGCATCAAATAAATAATTGTCTAATAATTATAAATTACAAAGAAAGCTGTAAATGCAGTACTTAATGCAGTGATTCTACATCGAAATAATTCCATTGAGAGTTATATTAATTAGCAATCCAAAGAGAAGAGCTACACTACATAAATAAAAACAAGCTTTTCTTACAGTTCGACAAATTCTAAAGCAATTATTTAGCGCAGCTAAAGGCAATAGCCTCGAACATAAATTAATTAGCGACGGCGATACAGTAAAAGCGCGATGCAATAGCTAGGTTATTACGAGGTTGCCAATAAAAATGCAAGCAGATAAACGTAATAACAATTTATTAATGCATCGTGGAACACAGATTTACAGGCACATTTAGTATGGCTCGAGCCATTTTACGCATATACATGAAGTCTTATATCCAATAAGAAGTGAGCTCGATAAAGAAGATGAAAAATCGGTCAGAAAGATATATACACGAATAAAATTTATGTCTTAAACATCTATGTATCCAATAATATTTGGATTATATAACGATAAAAATATCTACATAATAATGTAAATAGTACAATAATTGAAAAAATGTCTAAAGATATCTGTACGATTATGACAACATTTTTGTACTTCAGAGAATACCTTTTAGAGATTCTTTAATAAAGTATTTATTAAAAATATTAATTAGAGTCATTAATAACATTTACTGTGAGACAATTTTACGAGGATTTCCATGAATTAGAATTTAATCAATCCATATATAATGTTAATAATTTCCGTATTGATATTAATGAATAATACACAAAGCGTGTCAGCAAATATATATTTTATACATATTGAATAGTAAATATTAGGTATAGTCTGCAATAAATAATATATAAATGCTACTAATAATAGATAATATTATATTAAATAATATAAATATTATATATCATTTGCAATTAAATAATTTTTTAAAACCGCTATAAAATTACAGATTGCATCCATTAACAGTCAAATACATTTTCCAAAAATCATAAAATAACAATCAAGCAAATATCCAATATATTCGTTTTCGTTTGTTTATTACTTATAGTTAGAATTATTCATCTTGTATTATATTTATTGAGCTATGCAGTGTTTACAAGAAGAATTATTTTATTCATAAGTAACACATTTAGAGAAAAAGAATAATGAGATGACCCAAACGATAAATAATTTTGCTTCATTACATGCATATAAAATTATGGCATTGGCTACATATGCCATAATTTATTTATCAAGCGTAGTGTAATCAAATCTGTGTTATCAAATATGCGTGTAATACAAGGCAACACTAGAAAGGGAGAAAGAGAGATTACAATAAAAATATATTTCGAGAAAAAGTACGAATGAAAAAGTAGAAAAACGCTTTACTATTCTCTCTAATCCTAGATTGATGATAGCACTAATATTTACCCCAGAAGCATATAGAATTGTTAGAAAAAAGCAATTAGTCCTAAAATATATTTAATATTTTACTGTATATAAGAAATTCTTTTATTTGACTTAGAGAATGAAATGATTGTAACTCTCTGATTTAAATAATTGATTAGATCTTCCCTATCATCCATAAGTAATTCGATAAAAATCTTTTTTAATAAATAATTAACAAATTGTCATTAATTAATATTAATGATTAGATGTATAATTACAGTTTATTTTATAAATTAAATAATGATTCTCATTAACAATTTATAATTTAATAATAGAGATAATTTCTATATATGTATAATTATTACATGATAAAAAAATTAATCTTTTACTTAATTTACGGGTTAAAATTCAAAGAATCTGACTCAAACTGTTTCTGACAAGCTGAAGATAATCCGGTTGTAAATGCATAATAAAGAGTTAAATCTAACGAATTCCATTATCATTATGGGACATGTCACGATTGAATATCCCATCTACTCTCTCCTGCAGAGCCTGCAGTTCGTCATCCTCCGCATGGGCTTTAACATCATTCGATCGACCAGACGCGACTGTAGACGCTCGCTCGACGGCAGGTTGTACCAATGGTTGCTCGGCTTGCGAACCAGGCACTACCGAAGCATTATCGTTCCTCGGACCGTCATCGTTTCGATTCAGCGGCGGCGACATTACCTGTTTTCTTTGTTCTTCATCGAAGCCATTCTTCTCTTCGTTTATAACATTCGGGCGCTCGACAACGTCTTTCTGCTTTTGCTCTAAGTCGTTAGCTGAGGGTTCACGTTGTTCGCCGATCTCTTTCACTTCGATGGGACCAGCTGGGACGATGTTGCCATCACGTCGTTTCGATTCGTCTTTTCCACCGACGGAGTCGTTCTTCCGACTGCACGACGGTCATGAGACACATATGATGGTCGTGGCGTACTTACCTGCTGTTGCTGTTGCGGCGCCGGGATCGGTTGTGAGTCTTCCTTCGGCAGCGCCGATTGTGACATTGACGCTCGAGGAATCATCAACACTGAACTAGGAGGTGTACTTCTAGCATAGAAATTCTGAAATGTATGAGATCACAACTTTTACGCTTTTTTATATAAATGTCTTGATTCTTTTCATGCAATCTTAAATACTTAAAAGAAACCATAAAAATCAGTACTTATGCTAGAAAACAAGCATATGTTTAATTTTCTATAAGATGCAACTATTAATTATGCTACTTATAAAATAAATATAATTATTAAGCACCTTAATTTTAAGTTGCATTGTATCTGTTTATACGTATTATAATTAAATTTGATATTAAATCATGTTGCTTTTAGGAAACAAGGTACATCACGTACCTTGGCGCTCTCCAATTCGCGTCTAAGCTGGAAGATTTCCTTTCTGAGATGATCGACGGTACTACCGGTATTGTCTCTATTGTTTATCAGTTCGTTGTACTTTTTTTGCAGCCGGGTCTTCTCGTCAAGTGTTTCCAGGTACTTGGTCTTCAAGTGCTCCATAGCTTTGAACTTGTCTTCCTGAGCCTGCCGGATGCGAGCGCGCAAGTCCTGCAGCGTTGATTCCAGTCTGCTAGTCTCATCCAGCGCCTGTTTCTCGCGCTTCTTACATTCCTCCTGCAGGTCTTGATGCTCGGTTTGAAGGAGCTTGTAGGTCTGTTGAAGCGAATTAAACCTCTGCATCGCTTCTACGCTGTCCTTGTCACGCAGAGACTTTTCTCGCGACGCGCGTTGCTGCAACTCTTGTTTCACCGCGGCGTTCGAGCTCTTCTCTTCGGCCAGGGACTTCTCCAACCGTACTTTGTACTCAAATATTACTGAAAAGATCGTATATTATCACATTATGGCAGTCACATTAAATTGTTATACATCTTTAATTTTAAATTTTGACAGACAAAAGTTTTAAGAAATTTCTACAGACATATATTTATTTATTAATATATCTTATAATCACATTGACTGGTATTAACCAATTTGACGAGTATTTTATCTACATTATGCGAAGGATTTTATGGCCATCTCGATCATCGTAGAAATTCTCTAACAACCGGTCGTCCAACCGCTTGCGAGCAATTTCGTTTTCACTTGCCATTCATTGTGTTACATTTGACTCACATACGATACGGATTTTGTTATTGACTAGTTAAAATTCATCTGACTTTTTTAATGCGTTTTTTCACTGCGATTTTAAAATATCTGATGATGACACAATCATAATGCCGAAATATGTCATGTAATGTAATCTTACTAAATTTAAATTTATAATTCATAGCAATTTATTAGGAATGTACAGATTTTAAACGATTATATTATATATATTCATTGTTTAAATTTGATTCTTATATGCCCTTCTATTCTCTTGATATTATTATTAGTATATCATCACGTTACCGAAAAGTCCAGTTGAGTTGTTAAATCGGAGGGATTTAATTGTCTATGATTCGTAATTGACAAATTTATAAAAATCGAGTACAAATTCGTGATTCATGAAGTTCACTGAAAAATGCTACAATCCTATCATAAAACCTACATATTAAGGTCTTACTTCCCGCAATTTTTTACTCTTTAGAATATGAATGACTTATATCTATTTCTATTAATGTAGATGAATTTTAATCTCGGTTTAATTTACTCTTTACCTTTTTCTAATGCTTAGAATTCGAAAAAGATAAAAAGTAAGTTGAACCGAGATTAAAATATATCTACATTGGCAGAAATGTACAACATTAAAGTCTTAGGCGATATTGGCACGTGACAGATAGAGTCTCAATCTATCATATGCCAATATCCTCACAGTTTAAATGAAATATTAAATTGATAATCGTTGGTTTCAACTTCTGATAGCTTCTGATTTTAGTTATTTATGTTTCGTTTCATTGAACTTACCTTGTAGTTGAGCAGCGAGAGATTCTTGCTGATGAAGGCATTGTACTTGCATTTCTTGAAGCCTGGTCATCTCTGAGATGGTGTTGCGGTACACTATCATCGTCAAGATAACCGCCACTGCGCAGCCCCCGTACAAAGCCAGGCGGCCACCTCGGCCTCTGCCAAGCCGCGAACCGCTCATCACTGTCGACAAGAAAAAGTATATTCATTATAATATTATCTATTATAAAAACAATCAAGGTTGCTACATCGATGAGCGGAATCCTATCATTGCGTTGAATCACAGAATCGTGCACAGGCGTATCTCAGCGTCATGTAAACGCTACATTGTAACGCTACTAACTTATATTATCATCGCTTACCAATTAAAAGATACCAAATATAGTGTACAACTATTCTAAAACACGTGGCCAAATTTCGCCGAATGTATCCTATGATTATACGAAATTGTATTTCGATCATAGGAACGTGCGGTAATATAAATTTAATTTCTAGCGGCTTCTAATTTCTAGCACAAGTTCAATATGTCACCGAAACAATTAGCCAACAACGAATCAAAATTTGTCAATACTCGACAAACACAAAAATAAAGGACATCATTAAGGTGATTATTAAGATAAACCAAAATATTGGATAAAAGCATATCTATTATCTGAACGTAATTAAAGCTACTCTTTTCATTATTATTCAGTAATGTAATTATAATCGTTTGTATCTTCCAATCTCATCAGAGAAGCATCATAGTATTTATATACGCTTAATAATTTGGCGCGTATACGAAGATCAGTTTTCAAAATGTATATACCATAATGAAATATCAAAAGTGACAACGAATTAAAAAGTAAACGAAAACAGTAAATAAATTTGTGGGGCGAGAAGAGGGAAAGTAATTATTATACGTAACGCCTATGTCCTGCTTCAATCTCTTCAGGGACAACACGATGTGTACAAGTCAGTTTTACTTTAAAATTATTAAAAAATGTATATATATATATATATATGCTCCCTTGAAACTAATAAGTAAAACAATCAAAATATCATCGTTTCCTCTAATATTCATATATAATATAACACATAAAAGTTATTATAATTTAGTCACTTCTATTATTAAATATTATTATGAAATATCATTTTAATAAAGGATATTATAGATGTAACAAGCAAACGAAATTAATCTTTCTCTTCAATTTATACACGGAAAAAATGATTTTGCGGAAGTATGTATATCTAAAGATTTTTAACTAGATATAAATCTGAAAATAATTTTGTTAGATCCACGGTGTAATAAGATAAGTTTGTGAAACGTTCCCGCGGATGCGCAGTAAGAGGGTGAATTTGAACCCAAATTTGATTGACTGTTCCAGTATGTTGCTGCTATTATACGCAGAAGAGTGCATTTGGATCCAAATTTGATTAGTTGTTTCCAGTATGCTATTGCCATTATGCGTGCATCGTTTCTCCTTATCATCTTATTTCACCACGATTAGACCATCAAAATAATTATGTAGGACGCTCAAACTGATTGCTAAAATATTAAAACTTTTTGCCGCATTGCTCATCATGCTTGAGAGTTCTACATAATAATTTTGATAATCCAATAAAATTATTCTTAGATCTGTATCCAGCTGAATTTTTAGATACTTCAGCAAAATCATTCTTTTCGATGTAAATAAAAAGTTTCTCCTTGAAGAGATTGACACACCAACTGCTTATGAATATTATTTGCCGTTCTAATTCATATATAATATATAGTTATTTATTAAATGAAGATAATAAGCAGGGACATAAAAGGGATAGATGTTGATACAAAATGGGTGGAGATAGACAGAAAAATGAACGAAGAGGATCAGGATATTCAGATATCTAATATTATTTGTGTAATTTACGAAACAACCTCGTTGGCCTCATTGGTCCGACGAATCATTTAACTTTCACTTTCGTTCCTTTTCGTTCGTATCGTCCTACTGCTGTTCAGCCTCGGGAAAACGAAAGAACATTCAAATTTTCTTCTGTTTTATATCCGTTTCTATCAATGTAGATTAACTCTAATCTCAGTTTAACTTAGTCTTTATATTTTTCTAATTCTTAGAACTAGAAACAGATGAATTATTTAAAATTAAAATTAATCGAAATTAAAATTAAAGAACATTCATAGAAAAACACAAACATTAATCAGATTTCTAAATAGAAACTTGCAAGATCTAACCATGCGCTATTTAATTCCTTCTCTATGCATATATATGTGTCGTTTTATTTAAAAAGTGAAAAAGATGAAATCAGTTAACAAAAATTGCTATGATAAAAAATTGGAGATTGATTTTAAAATAATTAGAATCCTGTTCTTATTAAAGATTAAAGTTTATGTTTAACACTTAAATGTAATAATATATGAAAGTTTTAAAATTTCTCTCCTGAGTTTCTCGGTTAAGCAGTCGCTAAATGGAATATTTTTTCAACTCATTTTGATTGTCGCAAAATCTCTCCAATTTATAGTAGCAATACGTTCCGATAATATTCACAATAAATATAAAAACACGATTGATATGTTATAAAAAATTTGTAAGCGAGATAATATGTTACGTCAATTTGAAAGACACCTTAAAAAAATATTTAGATACTCTGTCAATCGCTGATTTCGAGAATTATAGAATTAACTTCTCTGATGGATATATATTATACATCTCTTCCAATTTACTTTGATCCAATAGTCCTTCGCACCGGCTTCGCGCTCTTTTTCCCAACTCAAGCGTATTAATGAGATTTTTCGTCGAGCAGAGCAGGAGGTCGCGGGGAAACAAAGTGGAAAGAGACGTGGCGGGCTGACTACTTAGCAGCCGGATTCGAGTTCACTGACATTTCGGAGCACGCGCGATACCATCCTGTTTTGTTCGTAAACGCAGCAATAACAGCATCGCCGACGACGATGAAAACAACGGGGAAGAAGACAGCAATGAAGAGGAAGAAGAGGACGACGATGCATTCACGCGCACGTGTACCGTTCGCGCGGAAACGTGACGCTCGCTCGCAAACGGATTCGATCCCGTATGTGTATCTGCCGTATCTGGCATTTCGCCACACCGGACTTGGAAGCATTCCCGATACCTATGTATATGTATATATATATATACATGGTACTCTTCAAACGTGCGTATGCAGGACAATCTGGCAGAAAATCCCCGAGTCATTTAAGATAATTTTCAGGGTCTAGTTCCAAATGGAAAACGCGTCGCAAATGTCGCAGATTGGATTGGAAACATTTACAGTGATGCCTTGACATCCGATTTGACGATCAACGGACAGCAGAATCCACATAACTGTTTATTAACCAATAAACTAAATGCATATAGATTACGTTAAAATACGTAGCCGACAGCTGCGAAAACATCGTGGTATAATTACTAGCATCGCAAACGAACACCGTACGTTCTGCATATCTACATAATGAATTGTTGACATTATTGCCACTGTTGATACTGTAATGCTAGACTGAATGTGTAGCATTGAGAAATTACCTGTTCTATAGTACAACCAAACATATTACAGCTCTCATTGGTTGCAATACAAATAAAATCCGTGACGTTGAAATCGAGATCCTCATAATTCTGCAATTATTGCGAATCGTACACACACAGCTTTTACTTAAAATTAACTGCAGAATTGCTTGGAAAAACATTCGCATTTTCTTTCAAATCATATAGCAGTGAACAATAATAGGTAAGAGTATGATTTTTCATCTAAAAAACGTCTCTTCTGACAATTCATTTATTCAACGACTGTTGCGGTAGTCACTTCAGAAGACGCTTTGATAATCGCCGTTTATAACCGACAGGGACCGTTTCGTCTTCATCGCTCATAATCCATATGCTTTTAATCCATATCTCTACGTTGTTTGTCTCCTTCACCTCCATAGGAATAATACTTCCATAGGAATAATACTTTTTACCTATATGTAATTAGAAATCGCCTTGTACGGAATTATTACTTTTATATTAAGTTTAATTGCGTCACACATACTGCATACTTGTGCATACATACTTTTTTATACAAATTTTCTTTTTTCCTTCCACTTCAGCCTCTTCCTAGACTTTTATTTCCAGTGTACAAGGCGAAAAAGATAGGTGCAAGAACGTGCTAATAACGTCGCGATACTATTTTCTTAAAATATATAATATTACATTATTAGACAGAAAAATATCATTCTATTGTTAAGAAAAGTGATTACTCAGACAGAAAAATATCATTCTATTGCTAAGAAAAGTGATTACTCAATTTAATCTCTTCCATTTACGTAACGATTGTCTTTAACAAAAAATATTTTCTTAATAATCTTAAAATATACATACTTATATTACAGTTATTGCAAATTTTAGAAAAACTCATTATTATGTACTCAAAATAAGAATTTACTTTCTTTTGAAAAATCAGAGTTGCCACACAAAATGAATTTAAAAATTCCCTGATTTTTCCAGGTTTTCCACAGATGAAAATGGAAAATTTTTCATGACTAATATAAAATATGTAAATTTTAACATTGAGACTCAAGGATTGTAGGAAAGCTAATTTATGTTATTAAAAACAACACAAAAAAATGCATAGTAGCATAGTAAAATTTTGGGTGCAAATTCGAGCCAGTAAAAAATAAATTAGTTTTGAAAAAAAGAATACAATTATGACGAAAAAGAGGGATCAAACAAAAATACTGAAATTAAAATATAAATTTTAATTATTTTATTGAAATTGTTTAAAGTGCGCAAGTTTCGAACGTATTTGACTGTAAAAAAACGTCAGATATAATATTTAAAAAATTATAATAATTATTTTTTGGAATAGGAGTAGTTTAAAAAAATGTTATGAGCGCAAATTTCGAAATTCCAGACTTTTTTACATTTTCCCCTGATTGTTCCCGATTTTCCATTACCAATTTCAATTTCCCTAACTTTTCCCGGTTTTCCAGGTCTATGTGGCAACCCTGAAAATATTATAAAATTGAAAGAAACGACTTCATCAGATGTGCCAAAGGACTTGCGGGTTATCGCCGTGTAGTGATTCATTGCTAATGCCCTAAACGACTTCATATATAATAACTATATAATAAGCAAATTCAAATTTAATAATAAGCAAAAATTAAATAATTTAATAATCTTGATTAAAATATTAAACTTACTAGGATTCAGAATATATTTTGAATAAATTTGATGCTTTTGATAAACTTGATAAATGCTTGTATTAGAGATTTGCGGATACATGAACTTTTGAAATAATTATTACTCGCGTACACAGTATGTATTTTTCTGTATATATATAATATATATATACTCATTTATTATACAGGGTGAGTCATTTTAAGTGACAGATCCAAATATTTCCAAAAATACGCCAAATACAAAAAAATGATCATGACCTTCAAATAACCTTGAAAATCGACCTGAAGGTAAAAACTGTTAGCACAGTTAGATGTCCCCCGTTGTCCTCTACAATTTTTGTCTAAACCATTTTTTTGTATTTGGCGTATTTTTGGAGATATTTGGATCTGTCACTTAAAATGACTCACCCTGTAGTTTATTATATTCATTCATCTATTTTGAATGTCATTAAACTATTTTGAAGTCTATATAAATCTACAGGATATCATGGTTTGATGCGGTTTCGTAACGATACTATCGGTGCGAGAACTAAAAATAAATCTATTCCGAGAATACGAGGGCAAGAGAGAAATTTGAATCTCTCAATCTCGCACTTGATAAAATGTGGATAGCTCGAGATTAGTCTGTAGTTATCTCTAGATTAACTCAGCTCTCTTCCCCTCTTTCTCTCTAATGGCGAATTCGATTGGAAGCACTAGCGCACACTAGAGCATATGAAAGCCGTTGTACACTGATTTAATTTGAGTATAAAAATGAAATGCAAATATTTCGAATCATGAAATATATATTTTACCTAATAGTACAATAAAATGTATTGAGTATTTCACGATTTAATCGATTTCTATATTTATTTATAAGCATATCTTTACATTAATTTGTGTACGACGGCTTTAATGTGCATCAGTGTGCACTGAGTGTGACCAATCGAATTCGCTATAAAGTATAGTTATCCTAGAATTTCATCTAAGAAAAGAAACTCTTCTCCAAATTTTAGATCAGGTTTTTTTCAATATTTAAGAGATCTTGTTTGGGAATAACAGGTTTTCAACTTAAATGCATTTTCGTGACAATTTAAACTCGATTAATTACTTTTTCGCTTGATTACTCGATCTATCTCGATGATAATAATTCAGTGAGGGTTGATATCGAATTAGGAACAAACTAATCATTTTTCATTATTTATTATCGATAAATATATATATATATATATACACACACACAAAATATCATTCTATTGTTAAGAAAAGTGATTGCTTAATTTACTTTCTTTCTTTCAAGTAACAGTTATCTATAACAAAGAATATTATCTTGATAATGAGCTTAAAATAAATTTTAGAAAAATGAATATGTACTCAAAACAAGAATTTATTTTCTTTCGAAAAATATGATAAAATTGATCGAAGAAATGATTTTAATAATAAATAAATAAAATTTGTTTTAATTTAATAATCTTGATTGAAGTATTTTACTAAGATTCAGAATAATGTTTTGAATAAATTTGATGCTTGTAACAAACTTATGATACATATTTGCGGATATTTGAACGTTTAAAATATTTGAAACTAGTAATTATTAATTATTTGCGTACAGTATGTATATTTATTATCGTCTCAATGAGCTTTTTTGAGCACGTGATGCTTTGCATTCAACAGCGATTTTCGCAACGTGAAGCCTGACTTGCTCCAAATTTGTCCGATATCGAGATCCCATTCGGCGTTTATCATCGCATATGTTACTGAAATCAGATAGGTTCTACGAATCGATGAAGCTGAATTCCCTCGTCGAGCAGATCGCCATTAGATTTCTGTCCCCGGATTAATTAGCACGCGACCATTAGCGCGAGGCGACGCGACACGTAGACAAGTCGCGTACCTTCCAGTCGATCCCGAGACCGACAGACCGGCAATCTGAATGCGAGAATGTCCCTACGACTCGCGGGAGAGGCGAGGCGCCCGCGTATCGTACACGTGGAATCGCACGAGTGACGTTTCATCCGCAAAGAGAACCGTCATCCGGATCCGGCGGTGTTAGACTTGCGGAGTTAATAGCGGAGTTGTGAATTGCTATTTATGCGCGAATCGCGATCAACGCTTCGTGTTCTCGGGAACGTTGCTCATTCGTCAATCCTTTACAAATTATACACCCGGTAGATGGAAATTAAAATTTGATCACTAAGACTTGAAAAATTTAAACATATTTCTATAAAAATCTGTATATAAAAATATATGATAAATATACAAGTTTTAGATACACATTAATAAATTTTTTAATATATATTAGAATTTTAGAGATAAAAATATATGTATGCACATCGTTCATTTACTGTTCTAACAATATAACTCAAAAATTGTGATTTTTTAAATTGCTTTAAAAAAACAGACATACAAAAATAGAGATATTCTTATACATATCTAAAATTATGTAATATGTACCTAAAAAATTATTAACGTATGTATAATAACTGTAATAGATATATATTTATTTATCGCTCATTTCCTAAAATGAGACGAATAAAAACAAAGTGTCATAAAAATGAATTAAAATGTTTTGAATCATTAACATTTCGTAACTATAATTTTGAAACACAATTTTGCTTCAACAACTGATCGTAGATGAATAAAAGTATATATTTTTAAAATGTTCCTTTTTATTTTTGTTTTTAGAAACGTATTATAATTTTAGATATATATAAAAATATGTAATAGAGATATATAAATATTTCACATCTTAAACGCGATGAATTAATTCAAGATATTCAATAAGAAAAACAATCCTTGGAGATCGTTATACGTACATCATATTTAGACGCGCAATAAATAATTTTGCGCCAATAATAATCTTAATTCTTATTAAACGGCATAAATAATTACAGCTCTGGCTGTATATTAAGTTTAAACGGTTATTAAAAAATTGCTATAAAAACGCGGCTTATTATACATCATGCAAGATAACGTGAGACGGAACACT